TGAAGCCATGGGCTTCCTTGCATGAGATCTTGGGTGTGATTTTATGAGATCCCATCCATATTTTATGTCATTTGGTGGGAACAGTTGACTTTGAGTTGGGGTCCAGCAGAACTCTGCAAGTCCTCTGTTGATGGAGCTCTGCTGTAGAGCATAAAGAAGAGAGATGATAATTCAGCCTTTAGCCATACAGTCCATGGTGTGTGCAGCCTTATTATACTCGAAATAGAGCAGTTATGTGGGGAAAGCCTTACTTTCCTAGAGTAAGATGACACATTTTTATCCCTAACAAAAGGATGTGAAATCTCAGGGGTTGGAAAATGGCTGAATTCTTCTAATAGCATCCTTATTTCAAAGCTTGCCACTCAGCCACAATTTCCAGGAAGACCACTTAAGGGTCAATCCATGTAGTCCTCCAAAGGCGTATTTTTTTCTCTGTGTGCTTTTAAAGGCTGTGAGGTGTCCCAGATACTATTTGAAAGAAGAGCTTTGGGATGGGAGGGAGGATAAATAAACCTCTGTTTGCAACGAACCAATGCAACCATGTATGTTTCCAGGATAGTGTGGGCTGCAGTGGAAACATCCCTACCTTAAGTGACAAAATTCTGAAAAAAGGACATGGTTGTTTTAATGAGTTAGATGAGTTTTGGACTCTTGCACACTGTTCCCTGTCAGTGCAGCTCTTTGGTGTAAGGAGGAGTGAGATAACGTACCTCCACCTAACAGTCAGGAATTAGGAAGGAATCACCTCAACTTTTTATCTTTCTATCATGAAACCAACCAAATGAGTCAAAACTGGGTAAACGGGAAGGAATGGCGATGGTCCAGGAAAGACTGAGATTCTAGAATTCAGAATTCCCTGCTAAAGTGAGATTTAATCCTGCAAATGGGAATGGAAGTGACATTTCTACAATATTCTTTGCTTGCTTGCTTAATTTCCTGTTTGCTGATTTATTTATGCATCCCTTGCTTTCTGTTGGATTTAGTTTGCAGGGTGTATGTGTGTGTGTGTATCTGTTTAGCTGATGATTAAATTTGTCACAGATGATGGATCTCATGATTAGACGCAACATACGCCCTGCACTTTCTCTAGAGAATAGACAAAATACTTAATTCTAAAGGATGTCCTCCTGTTCAGCCTTCACCTGTCAAAGGGTGAATTTAAGAATTATGCATGGAAACGTGAGCTCTCCTATTCCTGAGAATCTCTCCACCGCTTTGGTCCAGGTACATGAAAATAAATGCAGGGAGTGGTTTTCACTATTTGACGTGATGGGCGTAGAAGTAGAGCTCTCGCCTCACAGTCAGGAGGCTGTGAGTTCCATCCTAGGTAGACGCAGATATTTCTCTCTCTGGGCACAATGAGAATATATCTGCTGAAATAACACTCCACATTGGCAACAGGGAGGCCATCCGGCCAGTAAAACACTCAGCTCCATTCAGTTGCCCGGACTCCACCCTGCAAGGGATTATGGGGACATTAAAAGAAGAGGATGGTGACTGGTTGCCCACCAGCAAAGAGCCATTGCACTGTCCTCCTTGCTGCAGTCCTGGGCCACAGAGGCCTCCCTTGGTTGCTAACTGTGGCTGATCTGATCAGAAGACGCCTCTGGCCTTTTTAAACCAGACATGGGTGCTTTTTTGCTGCGGGTCATGCGGCTGTCAGCAGTGACGCCTCCTGTAGGTCATTGTGGAATATGGACAATCACGACGACTACCTGGAAGACAGTAAATCAGGAAATGCTGAAAGTTTTTAACCTTGGTGCTTTCTGTTTATTTTAGGAGGAACAGCCACTGGCGTACAGACAGAAGATTTTGTCTGTCCCCTTGGAGTGAGGCTGTTTGCTCTCACTTTTCTGTTGTACCCAGTCAATCAGTCGTGGGATTCAAATTTTTTTACTATTGGTCCTGTGGGTGTGGCTTTGTGGGCGTGGCTTTGTGGGCGTGGCAGGGGAAGGATATACTGCAAAATCTCAATTCCCTCCCCACCCCACTATCCTGCTTTCCAGCTCCATTCTCCTGTGTAGGGCAACCAAAGGAGACCCAGCCGATCAGCTGGGACTCAATGGGAGGCAGAGAAGAGATGGGGTTGGCGGGGCCAGTCAGAGGTGGGATTGGCCGGTTCTCTGCACTACTCAAAAGTTCCACTACTGGTGGTTCTCCAGAACTGGTCAGAACCGGCTGAATACCCACCTCAGCAATCAATGCATGAGCCAAATAAACAAGATGCTGGACAATGATTCCCTCCAGCTTTTAAATTCCTGCATGGAGGCACTTGAAACCGATGGGTCTGTGGTCCAGCCATCTCAAAAACCAAGCAGCCACAGTCCTGTAGGACCAGGCCACTAAAGGGTGGAACAGATTAAGCACTTCCAACGATAAGAGAGCCGGGGAGCAGGGATGCTTTGACTATGCTGCACCAAGCAGTTCTTTTATTAAGGTGATTGTTTTCCATCCAACTAATGACTGCAATTAAGAAATTGCTCGCATTAAGGTCAGACTTTCTTGAAATCTTTCTTTGACCCAGACTGGTTAGGGCAGGAAGCTCCAGCAAACGTATCCACCGATGGGAGCCAGGATCCAATTATGTCTTCTCTAATGGCTCATTACTTTTCATGAAAGACCACAACACTCTCCGATGCCAAGGATTGGGAAAAGATTGTGAATGCCTTTGTGGTGTGTGGAGGCCATTAGAAAGGATCTCAGCCAGCTGCCCAGGGAGGGCTTTGCAAGCCCCACCTGAACGTAGGACAAAGCTAAGCCAGGCCTTCTTAACACGTTTCATGGCAACCTTACGCACAAATTTGAATAGATCCCGTGATGATGATGATAGCCATTTAGTTGTGTCTCACTCTTGGCGAGTCTATGGGCCTGGTCTCTCCACATCTTCCAATCTTGAACTCCTTCTTTGAGTCGTTCTAAGCTCTGTCTAAGAGATACGGCGGCTCAGTGGCTTAAGACGCTGAGCTTGTCGATCAGAAAGACCGGCAGTTTGGCGGTTCGAATCCCCAGCGCCACGTAACGGAGTGAGCTCCCATTACTCGTCCCATCTTCTGCCAACCTAGCAGTTCGAATGCAAGTAGAAAAATAGGGACCCCTTTTGGTGGGAAGGGAACAGCATTCTGTGCAACTTTGGCATTTAGTCCTGCCGGCCACATGACCATGGAGACGTCTTCAGACAGCGCTGGCTTTTCAGCTTTGTAATGGAGATGAGCACCGTCCCCTAGAGCCAGAAACAATGAACATGGATGTGCAAGGGGAACCTTTACCCTTTTACCTTTAAGCTGTGTCTGGTGTCAGCTTTGAAGGTGTCCAGCCACCATGTTCTTTGGTGCCTGGTTTCCTTTGACCGCTAACCCTTCCACGCATAATTTGCTTTCACCCGTGAATGTTTGGCCTGATTTGGTCCAAATAGATGCCTTAGGGTTATTTATTCTTCATCCGGAAAGAGAAGTCACTGCCTGGAAGCTGCTCTTTGTCAAGATCCATACCCAAGACCAGAGATGACGACTTGTGGACTTCGACTCAAAAGGCCCCTTTGGGATCTTGCACCGCGCAGCCCAGATGAGCTGGCTCTACACCGCATCCCCGAGAGAAGGCAGGGAAGCTGCTCAGTTCCTGGCTATTTAGGTCTTGGCTGCTCCAAATCTAATCAGCCTTTCCTTGGGATGATGATGATGATCCCCAGTGCTGTCATTCTTCTGCCTGGGAGTGAATTATGCTGAAGGAGAATGGACGGGCAAAATTGGATTACCCAGAAATAAAACAGAGTAAAAGAGTAGCTGGCCCATTAATGGCAGGGTGACGGGGGGGAAGTGAAGCCATGCGAGCGGAAAGGAAGTAGCGGAAAACCTCTTAATTCTGACAGAGAAATCATTCAAATTGCTTTTCTTAACTTTTGTAACTAGATGTATTCTGGTTTTATGTCGCAAGGGTGCTCAGGTCTCTGCCGATAATCTTGCTAGAAATCCATACAGCATCTTCACTACAGGAACAGTCTTTTTACACTTTTATTTTATTATATAAACTGCAGAGAAGAGAAGAAAAAGAAATGGGGAATTAAGGGACGGAAAAGGAGCGGGGGAAAAGGGAGAGTGAGATACAAGGGAAAAGAGGAAAAGAAAGAAAAGAAGGGATTGATTTCCAACTCTGATTAGCCCAGGACAAGATAAGCTCACTCCAACCTCAACTGTTCCTGCTTTTAGACATTAATATATAACTAGCCAGGCCTGTAAGACCAAATCTTTCTAATCAACAAAACCAAAGTCAAAGTTTCAGGTTTTTTTTCCCTTCACAAGCACAGATTCCAGAAGTGATAGCCAAATACAAAACGTATTTTCCTCTTTTGAGTAAAATCATCACTTTAACCATTCCTGCTTTATCTTCCTTGCTGTGGAAATAATGTGTACCCTAACAGTCTTGACCTAGGATCCCATCTGGATCGGTCACTGGGACCAGAGGTTTAGTCTTCTGAGCAGGAGCCCATCCTGAGGAAATTTCTCTCGACTGGGTGCTGGGTGGTTGAGGCCAGTGGTTCTCAGCCTGCGGTCTGCAGACCTCTGGGGAGGGGGGCATGATGTCATCACCGAAGGTCTTGAATAAAAGTTATGATTTAAATCTTAAGTCTTGGGGGCCTGTGGCCACAAAAGATACCTTGAAGGGGTTCCATGGTGAAGAAAACATTGAGTATCACTGCTCTGGGCAATTCTGTGCATAGTATTTATGTGGCGCCTGGTTGGGTGTGGCTTCTTATTGGTTGATTGGGGTGTTGTGGGCCCCCAGTTGTTGTTAAATTGTTGGTTGTTGTTGTTTCCTTGTGCTGCCAAGACCTCACTTCCTATGTACTGGATAAGCTGATGGTAAATCACTACTCCTGTTGACTGTAGTCTTAATCTGGCCCTAACACTCATGTGTGGACATTCAGTTTTGCAATTAATATTAGATGACTCCTTTCTTTGTTTGGTGAGCATTATAACCTCATGGTGCTTCTTTCAATCTTTCAGTCTCTCTTCAGGTGAACATAGTTCCAAATAAGGTGGAGGTGCCTGTTGGAGAATCCAAGTTTTTCCTATGTCAAGGTGAGTAGCTGCACAATCTGGTGTTGAATCCAGTCTTACATGGGAGTAAACCCACTGAATAGAGCTGTACCTTCTCCTCATGCAATAGCTGAGTTAACTGACAGATAAAAGAGGGTTGAGTCCAGGGAAGAAATAATAACAGAATAACAGAGCTGGGAGAGACCTTGGAAGTCTTCTAGTTCAATCCTGTAGCTGCTCAGAGTCATTCACTGTCAGATGGGTGGCCAATCAGTTCACTGAATTAAACTAATTAAATTTAAAACATCTCAGGCAAGATCCTTCCTGGTTCTCAAGAAGATAAAGAGAAGTGGAAGGAAGACCAAAGTCTACTGGAGTTGGGTGGCCAATACATTTGAATAACAAATAAATAAATGATTGTGCATCCAGACTTGCAAGAATCCATCTCTAGATCTTTGCAACAAAATCAGTGTTGGCCTCCGTGACTTTGGTTCGGTCTGGCTGTCTTGAAAGGCTGCCAGCGTCACGTACCCAGCAGCCCCCCTAACCCAGCTCCTGTTTGGATTCCTTCCTTGGTTGCAGTGACTGGCGATGCCAAATCCAAAGAAATCTTCTGGTTTGCCCCCAATGGCGATAAGCTGACGACAAACCAGCAGCACATTTCCGTGGTCCGGTCAGATGATTCTTCCACTCTCACCATCTACAACGCTAACATCGATGACGCCGGCATCTATAAATGCGTGGTCTCCAGTGAAGAAGGGGAGGAAGAGGCCACTCTCAATGTGAAGATCTTTCGTAAGTGGTTGGGCTGGAGAAGGAAGGGTTGGGTGGGGAATGAGAGAACTTTCCCCTCTGTAAGGAATCCTGCCCCATAGAACAGAGGTCTCCAAACCCGGCCACTTTAAGACTTGTGGGTTTCAACTCTCAGAATTCTGGGAGCCAAAGCCCACAAGTCTCAAAGTGACCAAGGATGGAGACATCGTCCATAGAATACCCAAGAAGCAACTTTTATGATGCCTTCTCCCAGAGGTGGCATTCAGCAGGTTCTGACCAGTTCTGGAGAACCGGTAGCAGAAATTTTGAGTGGTTCGCAGAACCGGCAAATACCACCTCCGAGTGGAGATTTTACAGTCTCCTTCCCCTGCCACGCCTACCAGGACACACCCACAGAACCAGTAGTAAAAAAAATTGAATCCCACTACTACCAACAAAGTCCTTTCTGAAATGGGTACCTGATTGAGATAAGGAAGCCCAACCTTCACCCCTGAGATATGCATTTTCAGTTAATCCATGTTTTTATTAAGGTAAATGATTTTTGGGTCCTTCTCGTAGCTTCATGTCAGTATTTGACAAGGCAGAACTTCCAAACTGAAAAGCTCTCAGGCACCCATTAGCAGCCTAGTGGTTAGCGACTTGCTCCAGGAGCTGATTTGCAAGGTCCCTGGCCTCTTCTAGAGCTGAAAAGAGGCAAAGCTCTCCTCATCTGCCTAGCCTGTTTGCTGCATGAACTCTGACCGGCTCGGGATTTACTCTTCCCTTCCTATGCATCTACTTTCCAGAGAAACTGACCTTCCAACATGCCCCCAGCCCACAGGAGTTCAAAGAAGGAGACGATGCAGTTATTATCTGTGATATTGTCTCCTCACTGCCTCCCACAATTATGTGGAAGCACATGGGCAGAGATGTGGTCCTGAAGAAAGATGGTAAGTGTATGCATCTTTGTGTGTGTGTGCGCCTGTGCGTGCATGCATGTGTTTTGAGGTGTGCAGGAAGTCCTCCACATAACTTGAATGTTCTAGATTACTTCTGGAGAGCAAAGCGCCAGAATGAATGAAGCCTGGATTGCTGGCCTAAAGCTGCCAGAGGTAGCTTAAAGATCTGGGAGGCAAACTGTAGGCTGAGTTCAGTAACTGTGGTTGGGTTTGATCGGACTTGGCTCTTTCCAGGAATCTCTTTCAATTGGAATGCATGTCTTACTATGAAGTTGCCCAAGATGGAGAATTAGGACTTCCTCAGGGCCAGGCTTATATCTACCAGCTTCTCTCCTCCATTCTTTCCAGTGAGGTTTGTGGTGTTGAGCAATAACTACCTCCAGATCAGAGGGATAAAGAAAAGCGATGAGGGCATATATCGCTGCGAAGGGAGGATCTTGGCCCGAGGAGAGGTGGACTTCAGGGATATCCGGATCATCGTGAATGGTGAGCATCTTTTGGTTAGAAGGCACATGAGCTTTGGGTGCTGCACCTGGTATTGTCCATCCCTTTCAGGTCTCTGGAGTCTTGCATCCTCTTGAAGGCCAAGGCTACCATTCTCAACAATTCCAGACCAACCCATCTCTGTTCACCTGTGACCATTCCCA